AATGGCAACATATACACAAGTACTGGCTACAAATAAATTAGAAAAATATTTAAAAAATAAAAAAAATACACACAACAATACATGAAACATTCAAAACATGGCAGCACAAACACTTGCAACATATTTTTTGTAACTGTAAAAGTGGTAGTAGCAGTAGTAGTGGTGGTAGTATAATACATCTAACTAAACCTAGACAATATACCACAACCTATAACAGCATGTTGAAAGTTTAGCTCAGCAAAAAAAAAAAAAACTACAACAAAATGTTGAACTGAATATATATATTTTTTTTCACGATACTTGGTACCCCTAAAAACACTTAAACTAAACATAACTCTAGTAGTTCAACATTTCGGTATTTGTATAAGAGGAAGAGTTTTATATACAACAGAAGACAAAGAGTTAGAGTGAGGTATACATTTACACTGAAGGTGTATAGTAACAAAAACAAGTAAAACATAAAGGATCACAAAATGTGTGCTACCCCCTCCCCCCCCAAAAAAAAAAAAAAAAAAATTGTCCACCTCTATATAGTTCTATGAGTTTATATGTGGTGTGTTTGTAGTGAAATAAGATGAAGAACCAACAATTTAATAAAACTCTATAACATACACACGTATGACAACAGCATGTACATTGTACAAGTACTTGCAGTAGTTAGTTAAAGCAAAAGAGTGCCATGTTACGACCATGACCAACACTCATGTCAACGTGGTCGTCATGGGCCACATGCCAACAACAGCTCAGCTAGTAAGAATAACAAAATAAAACGATAAATACATATGAGTACAACAATGGCAGCTGAAATGCAGGAAAAAAGTAAGAATTTGGAGGAATACAAATGGAGCTACTCAAAAAAAAAAAGAAAGAAAAAATGCATAATTTTGAAGCCCTAAGCTTAGTCAAAAGTTTTCAATGAAAGCTACTATAAGCTTTTTAGTGAAAATAAGTTTTTTCTTTTCACTTTCTAATGAAAAATGTTTCTTAAAGGTTTTAGTAAAAAAATTTTTTTCTTAAAGCTTGTAGTCAAAAACTATTTTAAACATTTTTAATGAACAACTTTTTAAAGCCATCACAATGAAAATTTGGTTTTCATTAAAAAGCTAATTTTTTTTAAGTTTAAGTTTTTAAATGAAAATGTTTTTTATAGCTTTTAAGCGAAAAGCTTTTTCCAGTTTTAAAGTGAAAAGCCTTTTAATGTTTTTAAATAAAAAAGCTTTTCTAAACTTTTAAGTGAAAAGGATTTTTTAAGCCTTTAAGTGAAAAAGCTTTTTTGAGCTTTTAAGTGAAAAAGCTTTTATAAGCTTTTAATTGAAAAAGCTTTATAAGCTTTTAAGTGAAAAAGCTTTTTAAACTTTTAAGTGAAAAGGATTTTTTCAGCCTTTAAGTGAAAAAGCTTTTTTAAGCTTGTAAGTGAAAAAGCTTTTTTAAGCTTTTAATTGAAAAGCTTTTTTAAGCTTTTAATTGAAAATCTTTTTTAAGCTTTTAATTGAAAAGCTTTTTTAAGCTTTTAAATGAAAAGGCTTTTTAAGCTTTTAAGTGAAAAAGCTTTTTTAAGCTTTTAAGTAAAAAAGCTTCTTTAAGCTTTTAAGTAAAAAAGCTTTTTTAAGCTTTTAAGTGGAAAGACTTTTTATTACAAAATTTTATATCCTACATTGATATTTTAAAATTTAAAAAAATTTTGCACAACATCTTAGTGAAAAAGCTAATATTTCCAAAAAATATTTTTATAGAACTATATAGAGAGCTTTTATAGCATAGAAGTTTCCAATAGTTTTTGTAATCGAACATCGTTTAATAAAACCGTTTTATTATAAAAACTAATTTACAAAAGTGCATGGGAAATAAGCTTTTTGATTACTCAGTTACACAATATGGAAAATAATTCAATATATTCTTATCTGAATGAGCTTTAAACTTTACAACAAAAGCTTTCTTTAATTCAACATGTTTTATTTACTTGTTTCTTGTTTAATATGAAGATGTTTTCCTAATCTAGTTTGGAAATCTTAGTTTTGATTTCTTCTGTAACATGTTTACCTTAACCGATTGTAGGAGTCTATAAAATGCTATATATACATCATCATGAAAACCACTAACATATATTGCAACAAACACACAGACAGACATGTTAAAATACAGGTTCATATTAAAACCCAGTGACTTTTACAGCTGCTGGCCTGTAAATGGCAGCCCAGTGTGACTACTATTTACATGGTTGTATATACACAAGTATTAAACATAAATTTATAAATGTTTTCATATGTATAGTGTATTAAATTCTTGGCACATTTGTTATACACAAGTGTTATATTTTATAAATTTTTTCACCATCCTCGCTCTCTGTGCTATTTTATTATTCCTTTTATTATTTTGGTTTAGGTATAGTTGGCTTTTAGGCGCGACAAATATTATTTTCATATACAATTATATACAAAACATTAGGGAATTGTTTTACAAACCCATATAAAAACTCGTAACGAAAAAAAGTATAAAATTTGTTGTCTACTTTTAGGGGAAATTATAGGGCAGCAGTAGGGTAAAAAATTAATTTTATTTTTATATGAATTATGGGGATACAACTTTTTTTTTAAAAACTACAACTCCTATAGAACATAGTTTATTTTGCAATTTTTATGTCTCCTAAGGGAATTTTGTTTGCCATAAAAAGAAAAATAATAAATTTATTTTTTGGGGAAACAATTGTAAAGCTAAAGTGTTAAACAATTGTAAAATAATTTTAAGAAGTTTATTTTAATTAAATACAAATATAAATAATTATTTTTAATATGATAGTAAGGAAAAACCAACAGCTGTTTAATCCTAACAACAAATTCCTTTTCATTGGTATTAAATGAAAATATATATGTATATGAATATATTTTTCATTTGAAATATTTATTGCTTTCCTATAGCAAATAACAAATTTGTCTATGTAAATGTTTTATAAAACAAAATTTCTCTTTTGTTGCCAAAAACCACATGTTCAACTCTGATTATTTTGCGGTTTTGTAACCAATATATTTTCTCGATTTCATTTGATAAGATAATAAATTAATTAAACACACTTATTTTTAGAGAATTTCTTGTTTTTGGTTTTAGTAAAATTACATAGAAAAAAAAACTACAACAACAATAATTTTAAAATTTTAAACCATAAAATATAATAAATATAATTGTGTTGTTTTTGAATAATAATTTTAAAATACGATCCTTAGAGTATTTGCTACAGACCAATGTCTTGTATGTAGTTGTATGTATTTGAGTTTAAAAGGAAGTCTATTACATATTGGTATTTTAATGTAAATTACTTAAGGAATTTTATAAACAAATAATCTATATAGTTTTAATATATGCAAGTTTTGCAAAACCACATGTTTTTACAATGAACATGTTCATGAACATTTTGCTTAATTTTGCATTGTAAATTAGTAATAAAATTTTTGAACATAATTTCCGGTTCAATAACGCACATACAAATACATATAAACACAGTTACATACATATATACATATGTACAGATATACTTGCATTGTACTTCAATACACAATACCTGCAGGTCTTGACAACTTTCCCTTGGTTTTAGCAATTGGTTATTGAAAATACTTCTTTGCTGGTAAAAAAAAGCTTTTTTCATTAAAATAACGCTTTTGTAGTGTATTAATATTTTTCAAAAAGCTTTTTTGATGCATAATATTATTCTAGTCGTAAACTTTCGCTTTCGGGCTGTAATATTTTTTTTTTTTTTTAATTTTTTAGTGAATCTGGGTTTTTAGCTTTTTATTGTACCTAACTTTTTAATATTTTCATTGAAAGTTCAAACTTTTTATTAAAAAAACAGAAACGCTTTTTTAATGCTCGTTATTTATTCAAAAAGCTTTTTAAAGCATTTTATTCAAAAAGCTTTTTAAAGCATTTTATTCAAAAAGCTTTTTATTCAAAAAGCTTTTTAAAGCTTTTTATTCAAAAAAGCTTTTTGAATAATTTTTTATTCGAAAAGCTTTTAGCGAAATAAAATTTATATGGATCCTTTTAAAGCTTTTTATTCAAAAAGCTTTTTAAAGATTTTTATTCAAAAAGCTTTTTAAAGCTTTTTATTCAAAAAAGCTTTTTATTCAAAAAGCTTTTAGCGAAATAAAATTTATATGGAAAAAGAGCTTTTTGTACGATTTTCTAATAAAGAATGATTTCTAGTGTAATTTTTGTTTGAAAAAGTATTTTTCATGGAAAGCTTTTCATAGAAAAAGTAATAAAATTTATCCCGACTAAAAAAGTACTTTTTTCCACCACAAATAGACAATTGAGATACAGTTTTGAAAAAATTGAAGATAAACTTCCTGCTATATTACCTGGTGATACTAAAGTGATGATAATATGTGTATCAAAATGTTGAACAAGTTTTCCAAAAGCTTTGCCTTTTTTCATAACTGCATGGTAAATAAACCTACACACATAATTATTACATAACTGCACTTTTACTTGCACATACATACTGTTACACTTTTACTAATTTATTATATAAATAAAACATACATATAAACACAAGACATTATTAAATGTATTTGTTTAGTATTGTACAGATGACTTAATTTATGGAAATTCTGTTAATAGAAAAAACAAATAAACAAACAACAACAACTATTAAAGTTTTATGTTTCCACATTGTTATTTATTACTTAAATGTTTGTTATTATAAAATTTAAATTAATTTACTATAAAATTTATTAATATGACAGCAATTTTAATTAAATTTTCCTTTTACTTAATAATAAACAGCATTATCATTTTCTCTGGTGTTTAATAAGTGTATTTATATACATATACATATATTTAACTAAAAGTATACTTTAATATAATGCTTTCACTAACCCCCTTTAGTTATGCTTTATTAATTTTTTATTAATGCTATTATTTATAATTAAATGTTTATAATATCATTAGTTTATTATTAAATACATATAGAAAAATTTCAATTAACACTTTTTTTTATAAACACTTACCTTGTGAACAATCTGGTCCCGTCCAATGTCTTTCACAAACACATTGACCTGTCTCTAAATCGTATGTACCATGCTCTGAGCAACCGGGTAAACATTGATAAACTTGCTGATCAATGGTACCACAATCTTCACCCTGCCAGCCAGCCTTACAGTAACATTGACCAGCCACACAGGTGCCATGACTCGAACACAAGGGGTCTAAACAATCATCTATATTTATGGGTGGAAAAAAGGGAAAATAGGAGAAGAAGTAAAAAAACAAAAGGATATGAAAAAGTGTTTAAGTGTTAGTTGAGTAAGTAAGTATGAGAGTAGAACATTAGCATGTTAGACACGTTCTAGTATAAAAAACTGGTCATTAAAATATATTGTTGGTTGGGGAGTTTTAAACACAAACAAACAAAAAGGAACGTTTTTTTTTGTCCATTGAAAGAAGTTAAACTTGTTTAAGAATTGTTAATGGCCATATGTTTTTGATAAAAGTTTTTTTCCGTCGTCGTTAAGAAACATTTAACATCCTTGTAATAACAAGTTGGCAAAAAAGCAGAACAGAGTAAAAACAGCAAGAAATACAAAACTTTATTGCAATAAAAACATATATATGTAAGTATATACGAAAATTTTGGCATAAAGATGGGTTAGTAAGAAAACATTTCAAAATTGTTTATATTAAATCAGAACGAATTAAAAATTCCCTAATTACAAGTTATTAAAGATGTATCTTTAGCGTAAGTAAAATGTTTATAAACATGTTTCTAAACATAATTTGAATTATTTTGCAATATTTATAAAAATCTCTGAGTAATTTTTCTATTATAGCAATTAGCTAATTTGTCTATATGCTTAGTTAAAAAATGCATGCTTGTTAATATACATGTTGCTGAAAAGTGTCATTTTACAACTATAATCTTGAATGTAGGTGTTGAAATTGTATAAAGTTCATTCCATAGCTTGACTTCTATACTAAATGTAATATTTTTTAAACATGCTTTAGATAAAAATTGTAGTTAAATAGATTGAAACAATTCTAGATGTTTATAAACATGTTGTTTGCAACAATAACGACTAAATAAATAATAAACAACTTTATTAAATTTTAAGTGAAAACGACTGATAATTGGATTATAATAATAATTTTTAATATATTGAAACTTATACTAATGTTTCTAAACATGTTGCTTACGTTGAGAATATTGTTTCAATAAAACTGGATAATTTTTCAGTTCATAGAAAGGAAGAATTTTTAGTTTTTTGCGCATTTGGTATTTTTGATAGTTTCAAAATTCTTTTGACATATTGTAATTTTCTAAAAATGTTTATAAACATGTTGCTAACATTGAAAAAATCGTTTCAATAAAACTGGATAATTTTATCAGTTCATAGAAAGGAAGAATTTTTAGTTTTTGGAGCATTTGGTATTTTTGATAGTTTCAAAATATTTTTGATATATTGAAATTATCTAAAAAGGTTTCTAAACATGTTGCTAATACAATCGCGATCTTATTTGTTATAAGCATTGTTTAAAGTTCATTAAACTAATTAAAAATAATTTGCTCATAAATAGTTTTCTTGTCGCTTATAGAACTTTTAACATTTGTTTCTAAACATGTTGCTAGTAAATGTTTACTAGTTAATACAACTGGTATATTTCTAAAAGAACTTTTGTTAACTCGGAAATGTTCATAAACATATTATGTTGAAACAAACTTTATTTCGAAAAAGCTTCTGCGAAAAGTATTTTCAGTTTAACAATATTCTTAGAAACATGTTGGTAAACATTCTAATAGGCATTAATTATAGTGAAAATTGCATTAATTTGATAAATTTATAATTTTTTTTGTAAAATATTTCTTAACTAATTGTTACTTTTAATCTTGCCATAACGATTCCGAATTCAGTTTGCTATGCTTAATATAGACCAACAAAAGTTTACAGATTTATTTGCTTCTGCCATAGCTTTGGGATAAAAACCTTAACGAAACATTTGGCGAAAATAAATATATGAAAAACAAAAATATTAACTTCCTTCAATGTTTATTTACAAATCATTTAAATGTACAAAATAAACCTCGTCCATACATGTACTATATATATTTTATCCTTAAACCAAAATAAACCAAAATAAATACTTACGTTGATCACAAAAAGGTCCCTTCCAGCCACGTTCACAATGGCATTCACCTTCAATGCAACGACCATGACTCGAACAATTTGGTACTTCACATTCACCTACAGGTATATCACATTCAGAACCCTTCCAACCCTCCTCACAATGACACACACCACCGCCGTAGTGACCATGAGCTGAGCATAAAACTGGACAGACGCCTGTAAAAACACACACAAACACAAAGGAAAAGTTAAATCATGAGAAAAGAAAATATCAAGTAAGGATTTTGTAGTTTATGTATTTGTTTTATTTTTCCTATTTTTTTGTGATTCGTAATACAAAGAGAGTGAAAAAAGTTGTGTTTGTGTAAGTTTTTCTGTGTGATATGTTGTTATAAGAAAATTGTTGAAAACAACATTGTTTGTTTGTGTGTTTTGTTCTCTCTTTTTATATTTATTTTCTTAAAGTTTTTCTCTTTTTTTTTTTTGGTTCAAGGCACCAGGAGCATTAAAAGAAAAACTTACAGGTGACGATGACAGGTTTTGTTTATTTTCGAATTTTTTTCTTTTGTTATTGTTATTATTACTTGGGTAACAACAAAAAGAGTTGAAAGAAGGTGATAAATAATGACTTTAAATTTCATTACTTAAAGTAAATAAAGGAAATAAAAAGTAGATAAAAACAACACAAACAAATCCGGTAGACGCCATAAGATATGCTTTAGAAAATTGAAATTTAGCTATTATTTAGAAAGTTTATAACAAAGGTAGTATATTTTTAAATAATTTAAAAAATTTAGTAAAATTTAAAATAATTTATAGCTTTTAACAAAGATTACAAAATTTTCAAAGTCTATTTTTAGGAGTAAATGTGTGTAACTATTTTCCTAATATGTTTTCTTTTATACTCACTTTTTGAACAATCTGAACCCTGATAGCCATCAATACAATCACATTTGCCCAAATAACAACTACCACGACCGGAGCAATCATTGGGACAAGTGGTGCTAACGCCTTCTGCCTCCTCCACAATTAAAGTGGCCGAGTGTGAGACTAATTCATCATTGTAAACCGAAATAAACCAAAGACCAGTATCTAAATATTGCAACAGCGAAACGTTCACCATCATAGTATCCATATCTAAGGCAGGCAAACCACCATCCATGCCAGCCGCAGAACGTTTTCGACGTCTTTGTTGCTGTTGTTGCTGGCGATATCTTATATGTTTGGCGGTATCTAAGGGTGTTTCAATATCTCCTGTATATTCAAATGATGAATCTACCGAATCATTATCCTCATTATCCACATCCTCTTCATCATCGTCGCCCTCAGCGCCTTCAATATCATCCATATCGTCGTCGTTATTGTTATCATTGTCCATGTCATTAAAGTAATGTCGCGTCGCCATATAGGCCATATCGTTGGCAGACAAACGTTGCAATTGCTCGGCAGACATATCGAGCAATATATCACCAGCATCTTCCATATCTTTGCGACGATATTGAGTGTCATTAGCAGTGACACTGCGTCTATGCCTTAAATGACTGTCCAAACGACCACCTTTAATAAATTCAACAAAATCATATTGTGTTACCGATGGTGCAACATTGCGTCGCGAATAAACAGCAAAGTTGGCACCCCACGGCAATGTAAAATTGAAGCGCACAAAGGCGGGATGTTTATTACGGAATTCCAAAGTCCAGAATTGATAAGCTGGTATATTGGCATGATACAGTTCATTGAAATCCTTTAGTTCGACAACTTGTGGCCACTTAAGCAACGGCTGATGATGATGATTCAATTGCTGTTGTTGCTGTGCCGTATACGATTGGTCCTGCAGATGAGAGGTGGCATCTTGGCCCATTAGACCAGCACCCATACCCATGCCTATGCCGCCACTACCGCCTATGTTTGTATTAATGCCCAAATTCAATTGTTGATTAATGGTATGTGGCTGTTGTTGTTGCAACAACAGCTGCTGTTGATGTTGCAATTGCAAAGAGGGTGCCAAATTTTGAAAACCACCACCGCCACCATTAGTACTGGAACTGTGATCCGAGGTACTGGTTTGTATTGATTCTTCTGTTGGGTATGCTGTGGGTTGTAAACTATTGCCATTAAGTAGATTTGTTTTTGTATTGCCATGTAAATCATGTGGTTGCGACTTAACATCTTGGACTAGGATGCAATTTGTTGTATCCATGTTGGGTTTCATAGAGCTTACAGCTGCAAATAAAAAGAGTAAAAAAAGAAGAAAATTACATTTTTGCAGAGTTAACATATTTAAAGATCTTAAATCATATAGCAAAACTTAAAACAAAACACCATCAGTGGCAGCAGCAGTGGTACCATAAAAACTGCTTATCAGTAGAAAATATTAACATATGCTAATGGCTTTTTCTCTCACATGAACACAGACAAAAATGACTGTCTGCTTGTATGTGTGAGTGTGTGTGTGTGTGGAATCAAAGTATAGTTATTGCCTTTTGGATAACCATAGCAAATTTTCAGGCTCATAAATCATGATAGTAAAGTAAAATACAGAATATGGTAGCAACTCTAAAATGTGTTAAGTTAAGCTAAAAAGTATGCAGTAAAACGTGCACTTAAAATGCGCCAAAATGTAGGCAATACTTATTTTTTTTGATTTTATTTCAACAAAAATTTTTTGCCAACTTTGGCAATAAATGTTAAAGACATTCAATGCTAAATGATGGCCGCAAAAATGTTTAAGAAATAGTTTTTTGTTTTTTGCTTTTCAGCTGTTTCTTTCGCTTTTTTTCTCTCTATACAAATCAAGCACGTATTGTGAATTTGGCCATCTTATATCTTTTTCACCAAAAAAAAGATCAATAAAAAAGTTTTTTTATTTTTTTTGCTGTTTATAATCTTTTAAATGTATAGTACCATTACAATAACCAAATGATGTTTTTTTTTTTTTTTTTTTTTTTTGTTTTGGCTTTCTACATAAATCATAATTTCTCAGTCATGTTTTACAAAGTTATTGATATAAATTTTGCAATTTTATCGAAAATTTTCTAGGTTTTTTTCTTTTTACTCATTTGGTAAGAGAATGGTTGAAAAAAAGGAATTATATAGAAGGTATTTTATCATTTTCGGTGCGAGCTTTACCATTATGGTACTTTTAACTCCTGTTAGCTGTTGATGATAACCACTTGTGCCCTTTTTCACCCATAATTTATTAAACTTCTTCTAGTCTTTAGCATAAATAATTTATGATATGGATAAATGTGAGCATTTAACTAATAAAAATGAAATTTGAATTATACTTTTTTTACGCCATTGACAGCTTTTGGAGAAATGGCCGCAATAACGTAGTTTGTACCTTTATCATTTTGAAATAAAACAGAACTGGCATGGAAAATAATACCCTAGAGAGAGAAAAAGTTTTTAAATGTTTGAAATGAAAATTTGTTTATCTGTTAAACATTTTTTGTTTAAATTTAAATTGTTGCCGATTGCAACTATCTTTAAGATAAAAGTTGTTCAACTTTAAGCCTTAAAATTTTCAATTACTTGTCCTTCAGTAGTTTAAAAACCTTCTAGCTCTACATTTTAATGTTTAGCAACCAGCTGCTGAGTGAAATTGCTTTAAGAACTATATTTATATTCATTAAATGTTTAGCAACAAGTTGACAATACAAAAATTAAATTCCTTTGTAAATTTTCAAAGAAATATTGAAAAAACATTTTTAGATACACAAAAACGTTTTTAGTTGAAATGTAAATGTATAGCAACATGTTGCCAAAATAAAGTTTATGGTGGATTTACATATTAAACCAAAATTCTGAAATAAGAATGGTTTATAAATTTTCTTTAAAAACCTATAACTCTAGCTTTTTAACTGTATTATAAATGTTTGGCTACAAGTTGCCGAGGACAAAAAATTCACTTATTAAATATATTGAGTGCTATTTTAAGTCAAATTGGCATATTTTTCTTAAATTTTTTTTTTTTTTTTTTTTTTTTATTAAATTGTAAAAATATGTTTTATTATTATTGTTTCAAAGATGTTGTAATCTCTCCAGCAACATGTTGCTAAGAGCAAAACGTCTAGTATTTATGCGAAAAACTAACTAAATCAACTCTTAAACTCAGATTTAGTTGGCAAATATTAATTTTTAAATACATATTTATATTTTTACTAAAAAACTAATTACAAATATGGTTTTGCTACATGTTGAATTAAATTGCTCTTTTTTGTGTCTAGCAACATGATGCTATTAACAACAAACAAGCTTATTATTCTTATTTACGAAATTTTTTACAACTTTAAGGAAGATACTGCAAAATGTTTTAAAAAATTGTGTTTAGCAACATGTTGCATTAAACGTAGTATATAAACTTTACCAGTTAACCAAATTTATTATAACATTTGTAATTTATTACCTTTTACAAGTTTTTTCAAGTGAAAATATAAACGCCTTGACACACTTCAATAGTTTTTGTAGACCAACCCCTAAAACAGCGAATTATGGAAAACAATTTAAACAAATAATGTCAAAAGAATTAATATTTACCGTTTTTCAAATAACTTTTATTGGCACACTTCTAACTTGAGAAAAATTTTAAATTTTCTCACCAAAATATTTGCAACCCTGTAAAATTTTTGCAGTAATATCATATAAAAAAATGTTTACAAAAAAATTTGGAAAGCAAATATGTATTACCAAAAAAATCGTATTTAAAAATGTTAAAGCAACCCTTTCAATTTCTTTATAAGGCAATTGAACTACGACCTGGGTAAGTACTTATGTGTGTGTATTTAGTAATTTTAACACTTGTTGTGCCCGCATTTTTTTGTAACAAATGAAATATTTAAACACTTAACCCAGCAGCAACAATACTTAAGTAAAGAAAAATATTTGTTTTTTTTTGTGTAAAAACAAACAAACATAAACTGCATATGGTGTCCTGACAGGACAATTGTTCTAAGGCGTTGGTTGCTGTTTGTTTATGTTTTTGGTCCCAAAGAAGTGTTAATGTTTATTTACAACAATTTGTTTCTTCATCTTTAGTTTAAAAGAGTAAAATAAACAACCCGCATTATGTATGTAAGTTGTGGTTAAATAGTATACGAAAAAAAATCCGTAATAAAAATCAAATCCTGCACCAAAATAACTCACAAAAAAAAACTACAACGCAGATTGAAGTTTGAAGACATTAAAAGTAAATGAAAAAGCTGTAAAATTTAGCAGTTTTTTACACTTACATACTCAGTTTTTAGCAAAGTTTTTTTTTTTTATTTTTCTATGGGTTTTAATCTTTTGGGAAAAAATACAAGTTTTAAGAAAAACTGACGCTTTAGGACAACTAAAATAACTTTTAAATATTTATATAGCGTTAAATCTATTAAGGAGTATGGTAGTTTTATAAAAGGAATCTAGTGTATTCCGCCATGTCTTGGTTGTATTCTTTTGTTTGTTTCTTAAGTATATTTGTTTAAGTTTTTTTTTTTTGCTTTTTCGTTTTTTGCTGTGAAGCTTTTATACTGTCTGCTTTTAACCTTTTCTTTGGGAAATAAGTGAGTTAGAAAGAAAGTTTTTTTTATTGTATAGAAGTTAGTTTCTGTATAGTCTTAAGAGTATATTCCATTATAGTCTTTATTTAAGAAAGCATTGTTGTGAGTTGGTTAAAAGAAATATATAAAAAAAGTTTTTTTTTTTTTTTTGCGTATTAGTGTTTAAAGAACTTAATTTGCTACTAGAAGACAGAAAATATGAAGGATTGTTAAAAAGTGTGTATTAGGGCATTAAATGTTACCCTCATCAAGTTGGGCTACAAAATTGAGAGGAAATTTTATATAATGTTGCCAGCAACATGTTGAGAATTTCAGAAATGAATTTGTTTTTCGTTACGCTTATTAAGAATGTGAATTGATGTTTAAGATATGAGTTTTTTTGTAAAAGTAATATTAAGCAACATTTTAATGTTTCTAGACATTGTTGTGAAACTTTTATTTTTAAAAATAAAGATAAATGTATACAAAATGATTTGTTTAGAACTTTCTTTAAAATGACATAAAATAAGCTAAAGGTGTTAAAGAAAATTTAAATTAGAAGAAAGTAATGCATAACCCTTCAAGTTGAGCAACAAAATTAAGGGAACTGTCGATAAAATATTGCTTGCAACATGTTGAGAAGTTTAGATACTAATTTGCTTTTAATCACGGACATTAAGAATACAAATTAGTGTTAGAAAAGCTGACTTATAACCACAGAAATATTGTGCAACCTATTTCTGTTTATAAACAATGTTGCGAGAGATTTATGTAAACAATTAAAAAAAACATATACATAAGATATCGGACAGTCCTTAAAGAAGTTATTTTGCTTCAAAAGGATTCAAAATATGAAGACATTTTAAAGCAAATGTTAATTAAAGGCAACTAATGTAGCCTTCAAGTTAAGCTATTGCCAGCAACCTGTTGAGCAGTCTAAGACAATAGTTTTTAAATTACGTAATGTTAAACAACATTTCAATGTTTCTAAACTACGATGCGAAACTTTTAAAGGAAATTACCTATTAAAATATTTTAATTTAAATAAAGTATTGCATACAATACATGATAAGTTGAAATTAAGAACAAAATCCATTAAAAAAAACTTGCCAGCAACATGTTGAGATTATGTAATAATGCCCAACAAACATAAAGAAATAATGTTGAGCAACAAATTTTGCCACGAGCCTTGTTGATATACATTACAACTAGTAAGAAATATTTTTAATAGGAATATTTTGACACTTGTAACATGTTTCAAAATTTTAGTTTTCTTAAATGTTTCTAATCATTCGGCTGTGAGCAACATTCCGTCTGAACATTAATTAGCTTTTCTATCCATGCATTTGCTCTCTAAATTTTTTAAATATTTAAAATACAAATTTATTATTCTCTAACAATTCTAACAAATAATTAACATAATTAACTATTTTTTCACTTTTTTCCTAAATAAACAAAAATTCTATTTATACTATTTATAGAACATTTTTTCCAAAATTTTAACAATAATTTATTTATTTATTAATTTGGTTAATTTAAAAAATTTTATGAATGTTCACACTCGAAAAAGCTTTTGAAATTAATTTTCACATAAATTTTAAACAATTTTACAATTTTGCCTTAATTAAAATAACAATTAAAAGCTCATTAAAAATACTATTTATCAGAGAGAGAAAAAAAAAATAAAATATTTTTAAAATATAT